TTCAAACAAACTCACGCTCGGGCACCATGGGGACACAACCAACAGAATGAAGCATTCTGAGGGCTGACCTTACTGCCTACCCTGCTTCTGTCTGTGACCGCCTGTTAGCCTCCTAGTACAACAATGCAGCCTTTACCATAGCAATCCTGTCGGCGTTTCACTGGCTAAACTGAGCCTGGCTCAACCTTGCACATTCCATAGATTGGCATTGGGGGGCTAACACACCACTCATGGCAGCCATTTTCCTCTGAAAAGCTTTACCTATTGAGGGGAATGAAAAAAAGATGCAAAATTTATTTATAAATGGAAAAAAACAAAAACAACCTGAAGCAGATTGTTTTTAATGGTGAGCAAGGGCCATGCCTTCACAAAGCCACCAAAATAGAGACAACAGAGGCTGATGGCTCACACAGTGTCTACACAGGAGGTGTGGTTTGAGTGGCACATTAACAGAGCAGCTGATTGATTTGCAAACATCACTGACAACACTGTAATCATGACACCGACTAGTTATTATGTCTATACTTAAGCTCATTTTATAATGTTTGTTATATTTGCCTGTCATAGAAGATTGTTGTTCTTGTCTCTGATTATTTATGCACTGATTTAAACATTAAAATGTTATTTTAATGGTAGCCTGAGCTATCAATGGCCATCAATTACATGTGTACAGTACATCGAACACTGCTCCTACAACTCTCTCTGTCCCTTACAGATAAACTAAATCAAACTAAACTACACATTTGATCACCGATTACTGATTCCTGATTTTAAAGCCCAGGATACTATGTTAGGTTATGTCAGGTGTGACAGACAGAACCAGTCCACCCACCGTTCACCACCCACACCCTCTCCATTAAGCATCATGGAGACGAAGGCCAAGGCAGAAATAGCAACACCATTTGTCAATTTCTAAATGATAAAGATGATAACTTTTTTAGTACTAAAAAAAACTGCCATACGCATGTCAAATTACATCTAAGGGAAGTGCTAGTATTTTTGTCCAACTCTATGTTAGACGCATGCTCTGTAAACCGCAGAAGGGAAGAAGAAGTAAAAACATGAGAAACATGATGCTTGGTAATCAATCATATAAATAAACAGAATAAATGTGATTTTTTCAAGGACACAGATTTCCTCATATTAGACCAAGATGGAAAACGAGGAAGGCTCACCACAGGAGGCTGACTTTGTCTCCACCAGCTTCACTCTTCGTGTCTCGTTACGAATCCTGTCGTCTGTCTTGTCCACAAGATGTGCAAGGTCATCGATGATTTCTAAAAGACAAAGGAGAGGAAATAAGTTTAAAAAAAACTTCATTTCTGCTTTGTATTATGCTGCCATTATAGTGTTTTTTTCTTCATTTTATTACATAAAAGACCTCCCAATAGGTTTTGTGTAATAAAAGAAATGACCCAAAATGAAAAAGTGACAGTCAAAAACTTCAAAAGACAGAGTCTGCCAGAGCACATACATGAGTGGTGGGAATGGAGAGAGCGGGCTGTGTGAAAGCACTCCTTGCGTTTTCAAACGGTTTCACTACTTCCTGAATCCATTCTGGATTTAATCAGACTCTTATTGTTCACGAGTTTTAAAGACGTCCAAAGAAAGAGAGTGTGTGTTTTGTGCATGTGTGTGTTTGGCTCTGTGGCTAGGGTCCTTCAGTAGGAGTTCCTGACTTGAAGGTCGTCCAGATGGAAGCCTGTGTGATTTCTTATGGCTAGCCACTGTGTTGACATGGCATCTCCAGAGGTCTGGCTCCAACAACAAAAACAGATAACGACTGAAAGATTTCCAAATTCTTGATTTGTTATAGTTAGGTGTTAAAATGTGATATTGGTTGGGGTTTTGGTTTTGAGTCAGAACCTATTAAAAATGGCAGATGCAACCCATGACTGACTTATAAATTGGTTGAAACAAATAGAAACTAATTTAACTACTACGTCATCAAATCTGCAACACAACAAAATTAACTGAAAACATTCTTCTTCCTGTCAGTCGCTCTCATAATTTCAACTGCCACAATGACACAACCATATAAATAAATACAATAAGAAATATGTAAGAAATAAAAAACATGGCTCATTACTCTTATTATAAATCAGAAGATTTATCACAATACAGAACTCAAATTGGCCGTTTCATCTTAAACGTGTGCGATCTTGATTTGTGGCTTGTGTTTTTATTTCTACACCAACGGTGATGATAGGTTCAGTCCAGGAACCTTCCAAATTGAAAAAGACAAAACAAAACAAAACAAAGTGGCTGAAAAATAAAGTAGCCAGTAAAACAGAAACCAAGGCCGAGCCGAAGAAAGGCAAGTTCTTCAGAGACTCACATCAGCCTCTGATAAATGGACGTTTTACAGGAATGGGAAGCTAGACTGTACAAACCACAGCTCAATGCCAAGTTAAACAGACAGCCTACCCAAGGAGGGAGCAACCTTTTATTGCTGCTGCTATATGGTAAAATAGTACTCAGTCAGAACGATCTAAGCAATGTGACCGAATTCCCACAGGTGAGCGTTCAGGGTCATCTGCAGCATTTGTCTTATGAACACAACTGTCTTCAGCTATTTTCTTTAAATTAGAATGGTGAGGAATTGTGTTTCCTCAACTAGGAGCCATCGCCGCTTTACAGTCTGTGTTTTGGCAGATAATTAAGTCGCAGAAATAATTCAAGGAAGGAAAGTAAAGCATGTCAGCTTGGAGGGCCAGAGCGTGAAAGGGGCAAGGACAAGGAGATGGGAGACGTGAGCGTGCCACATGTACAGTGACCCTGGAGACTCCCACATCATCATATAAGCATCAGGCAACAATTTAGAGGGAAGAAACTCTTCCTTTACTGGCAGGGAAGGGCTGTAGAAACTGAACCATTTGTGCGGCGTGCCACTCCAACTAGTCACAAACGGATGTTTTTGCTTTGCTGGTGCCAAGTTTTTTTTGATTCACTGCAATAACATCAATTCATTGATGAATTCTCAACCATACCAAGATGCAGCACTGCTAGGATGTGATCTTTAACTACAGCTGCAATTAAAGGACCAGTGTGTAGGATTTAGTGGCATCTAGCGGTGTAGTTGCAGTTTATACCACCCTCGCCTCACCCTCCCATTCCATTTCTGAGGATGAAGTAGGGGAAACAAAACAAAACAAACAGTGGCCACAAAATGCAAAAAGCCCTATTTAGAGCCAGTGTTTGTTTTTGTCCATTCTATGATATAGTAGAAACATGGTGGCCTCTGTCTCACTCGCTTCTTATTTTCAGGTGATTATGCACTGCCAACAGATACACTTTTACTTCCAGGACAGCTTCTGGCTCTGGACTGAATCTGCAAGACCACTGAGAAGGCCCCATTTCAGGTAAGAATAGTTTGTTTAAAATGCTTTTACACTGGATAACCCTTCAAACCCAGTGTGGGAGAGCAGAGCCCATACACAGACACACACACCAACACATACACATTTTCATTGCCAGTAAGTTAAAGATTAATACTGTACCTTAACTTTTTGGAAAATGAATGGGAATGTGAATTCTGATTATTCTTTTATGTGTAAGCATGTTCCTCTCAGAAAGCTTTCAACACACATTAAATGTAATAGAATTTCCTTTTTCATTTGGTCAGTAAAACAGGTCAAAGTAAAATGCCACAGAAAAGATTCTTAGGTATACTGTGTCCTTGGCAAACATATAACATGAAAATCCCACAAATAACTACTGCTTAAGTGCTCACTATCTCCATAACTGCTTAAGCAAGCAACAACTTTATAGAAAGTGACGATGTGACCAGGATCTTAAAAGAGAAACTTTCAAATAAAGTCTCCTCAGAGCTGTCCGTCTGCACTGTGAACAGGAACTGAATATATATCAGCATCCTAATAATCCTTTGACTGTGCCCTTTCCTAATAACATCTACAGAATGTACAAGGCCATTAAAAAGAATCTTTTGGGCCCAGGGACTAGTTACCATAGTCTCTGTTTTGTTCGTTTCACAACAAACAAAAACAACAACTTAAAATCAGTGGTTTTGTGAATGGTATTTGTGAAAATGGGAACAATTACTTGGCAGCCAAAAGGCAGAGCTATCAATATAATCACTGGCAACTATTTTGTAGCTCTAAACAGTACTAGGCAATCCAAGTTCAGTTGGACCACAAATGGGGCCTATGTTGGGCACAAATATTATTGTAGAAAGCGGCCACCTTTGACTTTGTCCATAAATGTTACTGGTATATCTTCTAAAAATGGAAGGTAAATTCTTTTAAATAATGTAATACCTCAGTTATTAGATGATAGTTCATTATGAGTTGGTGTAAAGTTGAATAAATGCAATACTGTAAAGCTTCTAAAGGTATTTTATACTGACTCTGTGCTACCCATTGAGTCAACGTTCAGTCACAAGAAAACCGTAACACACGCAAAGATTAAAGAAAAATTAAATAAACCAGATAAATAAAATTGTAAATATAAAAATCTATGTATACAATTGCATTGTATCATCTTCATATACCACTTTTTCTGGAATACTTAGTTAGCAGATGCTGAGGCTGAAAGAGGCAGGAATGCCCTCTCTGCTACCAGAGCCATTTATTCACACAAAAAAACAATGTACGTAAAACCTGGCCCTTCTGTGGAGAGGCACGAGGGCCCTGGAGCTCACACACCAATAGGAGACAGATGCTGTTCTCCTATGGCGTCACCTACTCTCTCATGCTGCTGACTCTCTGCACAGTATCAACGCCATTTCATCTCTGTTCCAATATTCTGCAGCATTCATATAAACACCCTCTCTCTGTGGCCATCACGCTCTCTGGGGGATAACTAGTTAACAGGTCTGCTTCTATCCCTGCTGTCAGCGTCATCTGGAACATCACAGACGGACACCTTCTATGCACAGGATTGGCTGCTGCTGGTCCGGGCTAAATGATTATTATGAAGCCAAGGCACGAACAGGACGGAAATCCTTGAGGGCCACTGGATGGGTTTTTGTCTAAAGTCACTTACAGTTTAAGTATACCACTAGTCCAGGGTGTACACAGGCATATGTAGCATTTCCACTTAATTTCTGGGTGTTTACAGCATACCCACCCATTAGCCTCATAGCTGGACTGAAGGTGTCACACAAACACAATAACCTCTCCAGCTGCTGTCTCCTCTTAGCTCAGCTCTCGCAACGCACTGTAATCTTTTTGAAGATGCTGTAACTGGGTTACACCCACTCCAGAATACTATAGAAAATACTAATAAAGACTTTTTCGTTTGGAACTTCTCCTCCATATTGAATTGTGGAATGGACTGTGGATTCTATGAGCCTGAAGAGGGTCCACAAATCTTCTGAGCAAGGTTTCCTAAGTGTAGCACATTCAACAATCAGGTGACAATGTGTATATGCTTCCCCTGGTTCCCAGGTGAAGAAACAGTCTCCCCCTCTCACAGAACAATGGTGGATATTGGTTTAAAGGTACTTTAATCTATCCATGTTTTGCCACTTATCTGGGTCCGGGTCACAGCATCAGCTTAAGCAAGGTATCCCATACTTCCTTCTCTCAAGCTAATTCTCCAGTTTTTCAAGGGGGGTCCCAGGGAATTCCCAGACCAGATAGGATATATCCCATCTGTAATAATCTATGTGAGCTTTGGGTCTACCCAGGTAGTCTCCTCCCACTTTGATGTGTCTGGGATACTTCCACAAGGAGGCTTAAAGGGGGCATCCACATCAGTGGCCCGAACCATTTTAGCTGACTCCTTTATATTGACCGGCAATTCTACTCCCTTCTGGGTGTCTAAGCTCCTCACATCAACTCCAAGGGTGATCCCAGCTAACCTGCGTAGGAAATTCCTCTTGAACAACCGCCATACGTGATCTCATTTTTTTGGTCATTACCCAAAGCTTGTGACCATACCTGAGGGAAGGACATAGATCAAGCATTTAATGGAAAGCTTCTCACCCTAGTCACTATGACCATCCAATACGGTGACTGCATTGCTGCCAAGATGTTGCCAATCTGCCTGTTGATCTCATGCTCCATTATTACCCTTTACTTGTGAAGACCCCAAGATACTTGAACCCCTTCACATGGGACAGTGACTCATCCTTTTATACAGGTTAACATTGCCTTACATGAGTTAGTGCTGACTAGTGTCCAGAGCATTCGTCAGTGATGGTAACTCACCTCACTGAGCAATTAGTGGACTATTTGATTCAACTTAAGAAACAACAAAACAATCCTGCAGACCAGTAGTACATTATCCAGACCTACAAAGGCAAGTGGCAGAC